TTCACATGATTCAAAAGTTTATGACAATGGAATGTTGACCAATGAGAGATTATTGGCGGTAAATGGATGTTATCTAGAGACGAGACATAATTGTTGTCTTATTATCAATGATGCTACCACTAGAGATACATCTTATCATAGTACAAAATTGTCGTGAACTTGAAATTTATGAAAATCTTATCTTTGGTTTGTTCTGCAAAGGAGGTTTGATGATATTTCAACTTTGGTGACATTTAGCCATGTTGATGTGATATTTTATAAGTGAGTCAGATATGATCTTTACTGTAAGTTTTATGTTTTACATCATTACAACTCAATAAGATATTGTTTCTTTTAATTAATTATTTAGTTTCTTTTAGACTTCATATTAGTTATTTTTATTTTTGTTCATAATAGTTTTTCTAATCATAACTTTTGTGTTAAGTAGATGTCAATGCCTCCGATACTAATCAAAGATTTGTGAAAAGAGAACTAAGTATGGGCTGGATTTTGCATGCAGCTATGGTGGAAATGTTTGGTTTCATGTACAAAGTTAGGTTCCAATCAACAACAACATTATTCTTGTAAATTTACAATTGCTATCATTTGAAGTTACTTGTCATTTCCGGAGATAAGAGTGGACAAAATGAAACCAACTGAGACTAACCGACCGAACCGAAAGAAAATTTCTACAACGGGTCAGGTTTCTTCAAATGAATGGGTTAGACGGATGTGTAGTTTGGTCATGACTGAGAAAGTTTGATCGTTTTTGGATCAAAAAATTAGGCTCGTCGGTCCCCGAACCCGACCAATCAATGAGTTATTACACAAAAAACAATTAACCCTCTTTACTTTATGATTCATATTCTCATTTCTCAAAAACGTGTTACCTTTCCTCTTCTTCTAACCTAACCCTAAAACCATGCTTCCACTTCCACCACTGCCGTCACCCAAACCCTAAACAATCCAAATCCTCCACCATCGTCACAGTTTACTCTCGTCCCTCAACGCTCAACTGACAACCACAACGAGTTCCATTCTATTCCAACGAGCTTTTGTCTCTTTCCATCCTTTCCGTCACCCAATCAGGTTTATACCATTTCAATCTTAGAGAAGAAAGGTTTTTTATGATTTGTTTTGATTATTTCGTATCATTTTTGTCACTTTCGTTCTTGAAAAGTTTTGATTTGTTGTGATAACTATTAATATCTATTTGTGCTCTTATGTTATGAATTGTTATTATAACAATTAATATTATGTATTTTGTTTGAGAAATAGAGATATGCAAGGAGCTGGAGGAATTAGAGAAACGCAAAATACATGTAAGTCTAAATCTACTCTGATGTGTGGTTGCGGTAAAAGGGATTTATGTTTTTTTTTTCTTCTTGTTCATTGTTTCTTCTGAATCTAAGTTTATAGGAGCTGATTTGGTTGGGGGTGTTATAGAAAATTAATGAATGATATGATCTACAATTTACAAAATGCCTTCAATCATGCAAAATAGTGTTTAGTGAGGAATAAGTATGTAAATCATTTAAATATGAAAGTTTGTGATTACAGTAAATGTGTTTTCATATCCATAAATGTCTTTTTTACTCTTTATTTTTTTGTCTTCAATATTGTCATCATCATATATAATATAGATAAGCTTCATGGTCTTTTACTTTTCTTAGTTATGCTTACTTTCCTGTGTTGTAGTTGGTTAGATTTGGTTATTAATCATTTATCTAAGCATATGAAACATTGTATAATATCAAATGTGAGCATTGAATTATAATAAATCTCTGTAGATGGAAACATTTCTATTCTCTAATGAGAAAAGTGTCATGGTAATTTAAATCTCATTCAATTCAACAAGTGAAAAATGTTGAGTTTTCATAGACATTTTTCTTAAAGAGATTGGAATTTATTTTCTCTAAAATTGAGTATAGCATCATTTTTAGTTCTTAAAGTATCATTATTACATAAGCCTTGGCAGTTACTTGTATTGGGTCCGGCAATGTAGCCCAATGTAATGTAACAGTTGGCCCTGCACTGGGGTCTCTCTATAAATACCCTTTTTTACTAGATGGTTAGGTATTCTATTCTCTACACCTACTTCTCTGTATTTGCTCTTCCACTCTGATCCCTTACTCACTTAAGCATTAGAGTGCCTTGCAGGTACACCATCATCCTTCTTCCTACCTCCGGTGAAAGTTACAATCCAACAATATGCGTGGCAGGCCATTGATCCCTTCTGATCAGGTGATATCAGTTTTCATATTGCCTAGTTTGTTATGCCTTTGGTTGATTTTGTTAGGATTTTGTTAGACAACTCAATTATTGGTCATCTCTTATATAAAAGGAAGTATGATGTAATAGAGCAATATGTAATACATTACACAAAGTGTAATATTCATTGAATGAAAAATGCAAAGCATTTTTCCAATCTAACATGGTATCAATCGCCTTCGATCCAACTTCTCTTCCTCACCATTTATCATCTTCATCTTCCTTTCATCTTCTTCACTGAAGCTTTTCGACCTTCCCTTTTACTTCTTTTTTTCACTATTTCGTTTCTTCTTCCATCGCTAAACATTGCTGCTACTATCTTATTTATGTCTAACACCCTACACATTTTTTATTTTGATAAAAATACCTCTTTTGAATTTATGGCTACTACTATCTCTTTTCAAAAAATTTAAATTTTTGCTAAAATATCATTTAAATCTATGTAGTTAAATTAATTGTGTTATTTGTTAGAATTAAATAAAATGATTCATGTCCTTCTCACTATCAACATAATATTTAATTTACTTTAATCAATAATTATTTTTATTTAAATTTATATATTTATTTTTTATTTTATAATAAAATAATTTATTTAAAATTTATTTATACATTTAAATATATTTTATAACGTATTAAATAAATTTATTAATTTATACAAAAGTGCAAAAAGAACTTCAATCACAAAGTCTTTTTTTTTTTGAGTAAGTATTAGAGTTCGGTAGATTTAACTCTATTGATATCTAATTTAATTTTCATATTGCCTAGTCGATTATACTTTTGGTTGAGTTTTATAGGATTCAGTTAGATAACTCAGTCATTGACCATCTTCTATATAAAAGAAAATATAATGTAACAAATCAATATATATTATATTACACAAAGTATAATATTCATTGAATGAAAAATGCGAAGTATTCTTTCAATCTAAAAATAGGGAGATGAAGGCACATTTCTTTGAAACAAAATTACTTTAAAAACAAATAGTTTTTTTTCAAAACTTTTATTTCTTTGAAACTTTTTACCATGAAAAAATTATCTAAATTCTTTTCATTTTTTTTATATTGCTAAATAAGTTTTTTTTTTTTTAAATAAATTCCAAAAACAATCTTTTTATGAAAAGTATATTCTTGAATTTCAGAGGTCTTAAATTTTAAGACTCATTTATTTTTTTAGTTTTTAAATTCTCTCAGCATGTGAGTCAGTATAATTTTATGCATATTAAAAAAGTTAAAAGTTTAATTAATGTGTATGTTTTATATATTACTATCACCAAATTACTTTTTATTGATAGATATATTCAAACTAATTTTTTATTTTCTTAGGTAAATTGATAGTATTGATAAAAGATATATTAAAAATTTATATAAAAAAATATTGAGGAATAAACTAATAAATTTTATTTATTTATAAAATTAAAAGAGAATAGAAATTTAAAAAAAAAATTATATTTTTAAGTAAAAATTATTTTAAAACAGATATTGCATGTATGAAACATTTTTTATAAAATGCACCGATAGTAATAAATAATGTATAATTGAAGATGACGTAGGTCTATTGCTGTTATTGGTAATTGTGCTTTTTACAATTCCAAGTTTTATTGGATCACTAACCCAAATTCTAATTCTAATCCTCTAAATGTGATAAATTTGGGGATTTGAGATCAATATTTCTAGGGCACTTTCTACCATGCACTAGCACATCTTATTTTACACACCAACCTATATTTCCAATCTTATTTTAAATAAAAATAATTTTTTTCTACAATTAATTGCTAATCTATTGATGATCATGAATCATGATCATTTGTTTAAGACCCTAAATAGGGATGAAAAGGTGCTAGATGACCTCCCCCAAAACAAATAAGTGGCCATATTTAAAGGTCAACAAAAACCCACAACACTTATAAGTGGAAAAAAATTATAGAAATTTAGCACATAGTACACTTCACCACCACTACTTTCCATTAAGTTTTTTTTTTCTTCTTAAAGTTGTTCAATCTTGTTCCATTATGCCTAAACCACAAAAGTAACACTTGTTTTATTCCTACAACAATACAAAAAACTATATATTATAATGTTGACTCTTACTCCTCTCCATTAACCTTCCAACTACATATTCTTTTGAGTCTTTACCTACACCACCTCATATTTTTTGGTCCATATACATTATAAAAGACAATAACTATATGAAACATTATGCAAGTACACAATATCTTAGTGCACAAGAAAGTTATTGTTCTTTTTCATTTTCCACATGACATGAAAATTAGCTATGAATATTTGGTAAAGAACCAATTTTGAAGTTAGGGAAAAGAAAGAAAAAGAAACAAGATTATTATAAAAGTGTTCTATCTTTTGCTTTTCTTTACAATGTACAAGTTACAACTCCACTTTTTATATAGATATTGCTTTACTTATATTTCGTTCACGAATCTCTCAAAAATAACTTCTTTTAGTCCTCGTTATTTTAAATTAGTCCATGTAATATTTGAATCATGTTGAATTAGTCCGGATAAAAAGAAGCTTATGTCATATTTTAAGATAAAAACAATTACACTTTTAAACTAAATATTTTACAGACTAAAACTAAAACTTACGAGGACAAAAAGCGAAAATTTCTACTTTTCATGGATTGCGAACAAAAAAGTTAAGCTAAGAAGAGGGCATAGTTCGTTGGAGAGACTATGAAAACATATTTAAACTTTTGTGATTATAGAGAAGCATAGGTTGAAAGAAGACTTTAGCTAGAAATCATGTGCTACTCAATGGTTCATCTTGCAGTGGCAAGCATTCATAAGGGTTGGAATAAAAATAGTCTTCTTCTTTGGGTCTACTTGGAATTACAATTCTTCTTTTAGGGTTTCCCATTCTCTTGGCATGAGATTTCTTCACCTTGATGGAAAAGTCATCCCAACTTAATGACTTATTGGAAAAAGCATCTATGAGAGGCACAAGATGCTTTCTATCCAGTTGTATAGTCCTTTTGAAACCTAAGAATCTGAAAAAATGAAACATGGTATCACTAAAAAAATAAGATTTTGATAGAATAAACAATCAGTATCGTTCGTTAGTTAGTTTGGTCCTCAGACGTTTTCCGTTAGTCAATTTAGTTCATAAAATTCCCAACAAAAGTCGAACTTGCGGATGTTTATGTAATTTCAAAATATTCGAGGACTATAGCGATACCTTCTATGACCTTCAACAACTTTAGCCATGTTTCCGTCATATGTCGGAACAAATATATCACTCTCTAGAGACACGAGATAATCCAATGCAGCCATTTGTGATGAATGGTTTTGGAAATACATCAAATCTGAAGGTTCGAGCAGAGTTTCCTTCCTTACCTGTCGTAGTAGAATCAAATAAAAGTTACAACCATACACGAGTATATAAAAAGATAAACAGACAGATAGACAGATATATGATTTTGCTTCTTTCTACCGACCAGGTTAGGAAAAGTAGCTCGTAAACCTGCCATTCTTCTCTCTCCACCAAATATTTCTCCGGCAGCAATATAAATTTGGATATTATGATCTATGTCCAATGCTTTCAGTATTAGAGAAGTTTCCTCAGGTGTCAGCGGACATAAACCATCTTTCCTCTTAAGTTCGGAATTTATGACTTTTTCCTTCCACCACGGATAAGCATATCTAAGAAACACAATTATCCAAAATCATATTCAAAGAGTAAACAAAAAATAGATTCTTTACGCATAAACATAAGATTTAAAATTTAAAATTACCTCAATGTTGTGAGTTCCTCGACCTCGTTACTATCACATCCATGAGTGCAGCCAGAGAAGGCCAACATATCCATCTCATACCTAAGATGAAGAACAAGGAAAGGTCCCTTTTTTCTCAAAATATTCACTATCTTTCTACCTAGTTGTTCTATCTGAGATGTAAACCTCAACGCATTGAAATTTACCCGGCATCTCAACTTTTGAATCTCGAGTGGCAATCCGTTGTTTGCCAGTCGAGCATCGGTTCTATTTAGGTGCACGACCTTGTGTTTCCGTATCAGAGGAAGAATCTGAGAAAACCAGAAAGATAATTAGTTTCCTTGAAGTATCACAAGAAAAAACAGATTTCGATTGTCTACAATCACAATCTCACACATTCACATTACCAGACATCAATGTACTGACTACGTGAATGCTTAGGGATTGTGAATTTGTGACCATAATCAATCCAAATCCATAAGAAAAAAAACTAATAAATAAAAGAAACCGTAATAATTTAAAGACCTGTTTTTCGTAGTACGATATATCTGACCAACTAATCGGGGGCATAGAGTAAGACAATCCTAATTCAACTCTTCTCTTGAGCCTAGGTGGTAGTTGCTTTAATATTCTAACCTCGTCTCTCAAAGATGCAATGAAATTATCTACATCAAATATATCTTGGAACTCGCTGCCATATCAAAGTAACAGAAAAGAGAACATTCAAATTAAGAAATCGTGATGATAACCGTAATTGGAGATGCTTATGATGCAACAAACCTTGGATCAGCCCAGAAAGACGATTTATCGAGCTCTGGAACTATGAGAGTGACGTTTAAATGTCTTGCAATAGCAACCATGTCGCATATCTGTCAAAGAGAATTCAAAATTTTGAGAGAGAAAAATAGAATCAAACATAGTGTGATGATATGATTTTAATGATTGCAGAAAAGGTAATTAATGCGAAGTACTTGGAACTCACTGCTGCTCTCATTTGGTTGAGTCCTCCATTGCAAGAAACCATAAGATAACCATTGTTCTTATAAATCCCTGGTGAAAAAAATTATCAAATTCAGCTGATAGCAATAACATTCTTATCATAAGAAGACGCAAGTTTTTTTTAATTAATATCGATGTTGTCAAATATCGGCCATGTCTACGCGGTGGCAGATTGTGGTGGCAGATTATTTGACAACCGCCGTGGCCAATTTGTGAAGGATGGCAGTGCCGTGGCACTTTATAGCGGAAATGGCGGCACCATACGGCGGGTTTTTTGGCTTTCCGTCATCGATAATCGGAAAACATACAGAGGTTTAAAAAAAACAAGTCTGTGACTGTGATTTAAACCGAGACATCATGTTTTCTATGTCTCCTCAACCGCGTCGATTGTGATTGAAGTCTTATAAGCCGTAATTGGTTACAATTTTCTGAAGTATCATAGATCCCAAATGACCAAGACCATAGTACAAGGCTCATAATCAAAATGATAACCTAATGAGAAGAATTTTCTGCAATATCATGGGATCACAGTTCACCGCAACTGCAATACATAATCAATGATAATCTAAATAGTACTTTTTGTAATAAGCAAAACTCGTAAAACATGTAGAACTGATGCTTCAAATTGAAGGTGTGTCTGACCGACACTATCTGGTGTTCAACATAGACGCGACCTTTGGTCTACAATTACTTTTAACTATCATATGACAAATCAAGAACTTACTTTTCGGTGGAAGCACAACCTTAGCCGGAACACTAGCCTTTACAACTACCGAAGACTCATCTTGATGATTGAAACAATAAGGCATACCCTTCAACAACCTCGGACCCCAAAACTCTCCGATTGCAATCAACTGAACCACACTAGTCCAAAGAATCACAGTGGTAATAGCACGCGCCATCCACACTTTGATCCTAGGCCTTACAATAAACCTCTTAGACTTCACACCTTCACCACCGCTCAAAACATTGAACCCCATTTCCATCTCCTCACTATCACAATGATCATTTTTTCCATCACTTACTTTTGCCAACCTCAACAGCATCATTGATTTTTCTAACTTCAATACTCTCTCTCACATTCCAATTACTAGCTTGAGCTTCACTCTTCTTCAATCTCCAACAACCAAAGCCTTAAAAAAAAAAGAAGAAAAACAATCAATAGATATAAAACACAAAGCCTTGAATTTTGTGATACTTACAAATTCACAAAAAATCAAGACAAAAACAAATGTTGATGATGCTTGAAGTTAGGATCTTCCAACCATTGACTTTACAATAATAAGCAAAAAAATTAATGTAGTCAATTCTACTCCACCAGACAAGGCAATATTATGAGTTAATTCACATAATCAATGTACCTCAAAATCATAAAAACATCATTAAATTTTCAGAATCCTTAGCACTAACATATTGTTATCATTTTAACATTCATATAGTATAATATGACAAAAAGACAAAAGAAAAAACAACCATACATTGAATTTAATGTTCATCCATATTGAAGTATGAAAAAGACCCAGAAGGAAAGAAATAATTTTTATTCAAATTCCTTCAAAAGGGTAAAAAATTAACAGCTTTTCAATGGCATTGCTGAAGTGAATAAGAAGAAAGTACAAAGGGGTTTTATGAACTCTGTTACTTGAAAGAGATGAAGTAGCAATGGCGAGAATGGTGAATTGTGGTTATTTGGAAGACGTAATTTTCCGGTGAGAAATTCCGATGAGACGCCGGTGAAGGTCGCCGGAAAAAGATTGAAGAGGAAAATGGGAAGAAATGAAAGATAAAAGAAAAAATGAAGGCTGTAATTAAGGCGGTAGAGAAGGGGGTGACATGTGGGACCCACTTTAATAGTAACTAACCCCACTTTCTATAGTTATTCATTTAATAAATGTTATCCTAATCTTGTTTTGATTTTTTAATTATTAGTATTGAATACTATGTTTTTGTTATTTATAAAATTAAAATATTTTTGATTTGGTCCACATTAAAATTAATTTGAGGTCCACCATATTTAAATTTTTTTATTTTTTAGTTTTTAAATAATATTTTATAATTGTTTTCCAAAAATTCTATTTAAGAATAAAATTTTAAGGTATTTATTTGGTAATTTTATTTTTGGAAAAACTTTATAATATGAAAAAATAAAAAAATTATTTGGTACTTTTAATATTTTGAAAACTGTTTTAGAGAGGAAAAAGTAAAAATTTTTATTTCATAAAATTGTGTTTTGAAACTAAAAGAAATTACACAATTTGTTTCATAGAATTATGAATGTTTCTATATATTAATTAATATATTGAATAAAAATGGAAAAAATTATTTTACTGTTTTTTTGAGAAGGAAATAAATTTGTTATATCATGTAATATAGAAGAAAATTTTGAATAGCTATTCATTAAAATAGAAATTGAAAATAATTTAAAGTTTAATTGATATCCAGTGATAGAATAAAATAATTTTACAATGTTATTTAATAAAAAATTAATATATATTTTTAAAAAAATATATCAGTGTGATACAGTAGAATTTGTCATTAATTGACAGGATAAAAATAATTTATATTATTAATATATTATCTATTTTTTCAATAAATTAATACAAAATTTTATTAATGACAGTTTAAAGCAAGTGAAATATTTTAGACTTAAATATCTTTCCAAGACTTTAAAATTGTCGATTTTTTCAATAAATAATGATACTTTTTAATTTCCCGTCTTTAGTAAAAAGTATGATAATGTTAATTGATTAATGATTACGCTTAATGCAATCAGTTTTACTTTTTAGTAATAAATCAATATAAATTTTAGATGATTTTTTTCAGACATATTAAAATATTATAACTGTTCTTCTAAAAAAAAGGTCAAAATTTAATTTATAGGTACACGTGTTTATTTTATTTTTTCTTTGAAATCTTGAATTTAAATATTCATGTTAAATTCATTCAACTTTAAAAAAGTTAATTTTTAAAATATTAATCTCAATAATCAAATAAGAAAGTTGCTCAAGATAATTGCATAAGAAGAAAAAAAACAGCATCCATCAATACGATTAATTCTTACATGTATTTTACGGTCTCTTGATATTAAAACAACTTTGATAAAGAATAAGAAAATAGAAAAAATGAGAGCAAAAAATGCTATAGTATAGTTTCAGTTTTAATCTCGTAGCAAATAAGAAAGAGATTTGACTAAAAAAAGAAAAAGATTTATGAACTTTTTAAATCTAATTGATTAACAGATAAACCACAAAATAAGATAAAATGTTGAAGCTTTTATTTTATTTTATTTGTAGTTTTTAATACTATCTTATAAATTACTTTCCAAAAGTTGTATTTAAAAATACTATTTTAAAATATTTTCTTAGTAATTCTATTTTCCGAAACACTTTTTAAAGATGAGAAAATATTTTAAAAAATTGATAACTTTAATATTTTGAAAACAGTTTTAGAGATGAAAACAATAAAAAATTAGTTTCATGAAATTGTGTTTTAAAACAAAAACAAAAAGTCATACAAGTTGTTTCATAAAATATGTTGAATAAAAATGAAAAAAATTAGCTTATTATTTTTTATTATTAAAGTTTGGCCTAAGACAACCTTACAAAATCTGTTGGTAAGGTGAGGGGTGTCACTCTGTATAAACTATTTCAATGCTCTATCCCCAACCAATATGGAACTTTAGGATCTTACTAATACACTCTCTCACGCCTAATATTTTTTTTGGGCTTGGTGCGTGGATTTTTAAAAGATGGGTAGTCCAAGGTCCGATCGATAGGCTCTGATACCATATTAGAGTTTGGTCTAACACAACCCTACAAAACCGGTTGGTAAGGTGAGGGATATCACTCTATATAAATTATTTTAATGCTCTATCTCCAATCAATGTATGACTTTAGGATCTTTCTAATATTGACAATGAAATAAATTTATTATACCATGTAATATAGAAGAAAATTTTAAGTAATTATGAAGTAAAAAATAATTTGAAAACAACGAATGCAAATTTTCATTAAAATGACATTTTAAAGAAACTGAATTATTTTAGAGTTAAATATATTTTTATCACTTTAAAATTATCTAACTTTAAAGTTTTTTCAACACTTAATTAGATTTTTTTTTTAAAGTAATCAAATTTTTCAAACATTTTACCAAATAAACATAAAATTCAAAAAAAAATTCCAAACCAAACAGAATTCAACGTTGATTCGCTATATCATATGGCTGAATCATGCAAGCTTTAACGAATTCGCCATATGATATGGCGTATGAGTTGTTTTGATTGAAGCGATTCGCCATCTGATATGGCGAATGGGTGCAATTAGAAATTTTTTTTTGTTTTTGTTTGGGTTTCTATTTTTGGTTTACTTTTTTGCCTTTTATTTTTCTAGGTTTTAATTTTTGTTTTTCCTAATTTTAGTTTTATAACATAATTAAAATAATATTTGTAATTTAAATAATGCAAAAAAAAATATAAATGGAAGAAATAGAAAAGTATAATAATTTATAATAGAATACAAATTACAATTGATAAAAAAAAAATTAATGGTCGGCTCTATCTAAACGACCACTTGTACCACATTGTAGAGGATGCGTGTGGCGTCGAGGTTTACCACGAGGTTATTGAGGTGTATCTGGTCTTTGTGTGTTAACCCGTGGAAGAGGGGTTTGTTCGGATGGCCCCGGCGTATCAGATAAATTTTGAAGCATTTGACCCCAATAGCCGGGATGGCCATTATCAACGGCGCTTCCGTAATTAAGTTCAATGCCCATGTTTTCGTAGTTTTGTCGGGGAGGTTGGGTGGAGTATGAACGGTATGGTTATCCGAATTGGTACATCAAATCGGTTTGAAAACGATGTATTGGTTGTTGTGGGGTTTGGTATTCAAAAAATGGATAGGTATTTTGTTGGTAGGAAGTTTGACTGTATGGTGTGGGTTCAAAAGAGTTATCTGGGCTATAGGTGGAGGGGGTAGGGTCAAAAGATGTATCAGGGCTATATGCATAAGTGGTGTCGGTTTCAGAACGCTGACGGTATGGGTAAGACTCTTGTTGTTGTGATTGGGTTGGTGGCATGTATGGGTTATGGTTTTGGAAGACTGTTTGGGTGGGCATAGTTGGATGTTGCGTGTAAGATGGTGTTTGATGTTGGGCATTTGGTTGCTGATGTGGAGTCGAGGAAGACGCACATTGTCTCGGGTCAATCAAATATGTCGGCTCAGACAGAAATGGTTGTGAGGTTGTAACCGACCTAAACCAAATCATATATTGATAACTTGGCCTAGCCCCTTCCACAATAGGGTCGGTTAAGATGTGTTGACGTCGGTTCTTCCAAGGCAGGCACATCTCTTTCGCAAAGTCCTTCCAATGACCAACACTCTATTGTGAATCCACCCGTAGCTGATGCTAGTGTCCCAATGACGTCAGAGCATCTGGAATATCCTGATGCATCCCAAACTGTAGTTTCACCCGGTCACTTTGGTGCATCTCCACTGTAGTGAACCTAATGATATGTGTTTTAGATGTCCACACGACAACATCATCGGCGTTGGGCTAGTGGTCGAGACCCTCGTACGACATCCAGACAAACTACATTAACAATATACACAATGAGAAATACAAGTTTGTGTTTATCAATTAGACAAAGTAAAGGTAGATAAATTACATCATTTGGCCCAATGTGTTCAATAAGGTTGCGGTACACAACTATGGAGTTCCTGAGACATCTTTGGTAATTTATCCTCGGAACAGACCACCTAAAAAAAAGAAACACAAATAAATTAGACACTAAGACACATCGTACAAATAATTAAGTTACAAAGAAACTTCGGTTGTAAATTCGTCTTGAAAATAAACTTACTTGTTAGCGTATGGGAATGTGAATGGATTGTGGTTGATTGAAGCAAGTGTTGGCATCCTAGACCAACCCCACGCTTGAAGGAGATAAGCGCAACCATAAAAAGTACAAGAACTTTTTTTGGCATTTTTACATAATGCACTACATAGATGGGCAGGGACAGCTGATCCCCAACTATATGTGCGCACTTTGTTT